ATGAATTTTGTGGATTTATTTAATTATTATCACTTTTTCTTTTCATTTTTTTTCTTTTTTTTACTTATCTTTCCGGTCCTTTTCTATTCGTCAGATTCGTTCTATTCTTTTCTATTTGTTGTATTCGTTCTATTCTTTTCTATTCCTTCTATTCGTCAGATTCGTTCTATTCTTTTCTATTCCTTCTATTCTTTTTATTCGTCAGATTCTTTCTTCTGTTCTATTCTTTTCTATCTATTCATTTCTATTCGTTTTACAGATTCGTTCTATTCGTTCTATTCTTTTGTATTCGTGCTATTCGCTCCTTTCGTTTTATCTATTCTTTTCTATTGTTCCATTCATTTTATACTTTTCTATTCCTTTTATTTTTTCTATTCGTTCTATTCTTTTTATTCGTCAGATTCGTTCTATTCTTTTCTATATGTTCTAATCATTCTATTCTTTTATATTTGTTCTATTCATTCTATCCGTTCTACTCTTATCTATTCGATCTATTCATTCTATTCGTTCTATTCTTTTATATTCGTTCTATTCTTTCATATTCCTTGTATTCTTTCCTATTAGATATATTCGTTCTATTCTTTTCTATTCTTTTCCATTTGTTCTATTCCCCCAATTGTTTTCTATTCGTTCTATTCGTCAGATTCGTTCTATTCTTTTCTATTCATCCTATTCGTTTTATTCAGTAGATTTGTTTTATTCCTTCTGTTCTTTTTTTATTTCTTCTGTTCGTTCTTTTCTTTCCTATTCGTTCTATTCGTTTTATTCGGCAGCTTCGTCCCATTCGTCCTATTCGTTCTATTCTTTTCAGTTCGCTATATTGGTTTTATTCTCTTCTATCCGTTTTTATTCTTTTCTATTCGTTCTATTCTTTTCTAATTGTTCTATTCTTTTTATTCGTCAGATTCGTTCTATCTTTTCTATATGTTCTACGTATTCTTTTCTATTCGTTCTATCCATTCTATTCGTTCCATTCTTTTCTATTTGTCCTATTCTTTCTATTCGTTAGGCCATGTTAAGCATTCTGTATGGACCGGAAATAAAAAAAACTGACGACGAGATTTGAGTTCGTTTTTCTCATCCTAGCGATCCCGACTGACAAAATAAAACGACTTATTATTATTATTATTATTATTATTGAGAGATGAGATTATAAGATTAGAGACATCATTTATTGTCATAAAACAATTACAAAAATGCATGTGAATCGCCCTCACATTCTGGTCGCATTAAACATGAAAATGTTTTGAAAATCAATCTTTAAATAAAGGTTATTTTCAAGATTTATGTTTACTTTTTATGTTTTAAAGTCTCTTCGATTCGATGGCGTTGTCTGACTAAAATCTAGTCTTCTACATCAGCCACGTATATTGATTTGACTAAGTCTTGTATTTTACGTTTCCTTCGCTCTTTTCTAATACAATTTCAACGTTTTGACTCCCAATGCATAATTTCTTTAATGTTGATATATAGATTTAAATTAAGTACCAACATGAGATCGCTGGAAAATGAGCATAGCAGGATAATAACGGCCTTAAACTTGACGAAAACAAAATTTTATCGTCAAAATTTTTTTGTTTTTATTAAGAGGAAAGAACAAAGTTATTTTAAATTATTTTTCAAATTTTTTCTGTCTTTATTAGAGCATTCAAACTTGTGATTGAAAAACCTCGTTTCTCTTCATCAGCGAATGTCCTACTGAATAACATGGCGAAGTTTTTGTGAATTTTTTCTTTTAATAGCCGTCATTCATTTTGAAAATCTTGCAAAAATAAAAATAATTGTCGGATTTTAATAAAACTTTCAGAAACTATTCATAAATGATGGAAATTATTATAAATATGTTTATGCTTTTAAAGCCATGGTAAAAAAAAAATTTTATATTTATTAACCCCCATAACTAATTTTATGAAAACTCTTGAAATTCAAATGTGTACATTTTTAGTGATTAATTAGTTAAAAGCACAAAGCTTTGAGGAAAGCAAATCATTTCTTTAGGTGACACCCTTCTACCTTAAAATCAGCTCTGAATTGTAACATACAAAATTCAATAAAACAAAGATATTATTTAATTTGAAAAGCTTTTATTTGCTTTTACTTGTTTTTATGAATATGAATAATATTGTCTGAAAGCAAAAAACGTTTTCGATGAAAAATAAATTTTTACAATAATTATTTATTTCTTAAATTATTTTTTTACATTAATGTTATTAAATATTCTAAAATTAATGAAAATGTTGTACAGTTTAGTCAATGGTATTATTAAGTAGATAAATATCATTACAGATTATAAAATAAATCTGGTTACAATCAGCAATCTGCAAATAGATAAAAATCTAATATAACAGGGGTTTTTGGAGTCGAAATATAGCTTAATTCAAATATACGGAAGACCGGAAGCATCATGAAAACAATCGTCCATCACATGAGTTGTGTTGGTAGTAACAAACATTTTGACGATAAAATTCTGCTTTCGTCAAGTTTAAGGCCGTTTTTATCATGCTATGCCTACTTAAATATAACGAGGTAAATAAGTTATTTACATAAAGCTAAACTGTGGCTTGTGACCTTCCGTACTATAACTTTTCCTCCCGTAAGATGTCAGCGCGTGATGAAATCACGCACATGTCACTTGTCAATCAACACCGCTGTTAAGACCGGCTTTCTGTCATTTTAAAGTACATTTTTTCAGCGCAGAAAGTAAGTAATGTTTGTTTCAAAATAAATTAAATAAACTTTATAATTTTTAATTTTCTTAAATTAACTTTTTAAAAAATCATAATTTATTTTTAAAAGAATTTTAAAAGACTTTGACTTTTGAAAAAAAAAAGTTTTAAAAAAAATTTGACGATCGATTTTTTGTCAAAAATAAAAAAAAAATACAAATTTTTTAACGAAAATTTTGGACGTGCTAGAAATTATCAAAAATGTAAAAAATAATAACATAAATATTTAGACGATAAAAAATTATTTTCATCAAGTTTAAGGCCTTTTTTATTTATGCTATTTTTTTTTTATAGATTTCATGTTGATACCTAATTTAAATGCAGTAGACAGTAACGATAGTTTTACAGAGACTAACGAGGATTTTGTCCCGGCCCCCAAAGTTTCAATCACTTAAACGTTGGACTTTTACAACTGTGGACTCTCTTTTAATCATTTCACCGCAAGCAAGGCAATAAAGCCACTAAGACGTTTAGTTACTGACGAAGGTTACTGAAAGTGAAGAAAAGAAGAGTGAGAAGAAAAGACAATAAAATTAATTCATAAAAAGATGACGATGGAAGTTGCATTTACTTTTTTGAAGATTGTAGGCGACAGGAAAGCGAGAAGTGCGAGAGAAAAATTATTAGAATAAAACTTACGGTTAAACCTGACAATTTCTACAGTAAAATGATGAGACCTATCTGCCAATCTAGTACTGCGCTTTATTTCACGCGGTCGAGGTACCAAAGAGGAAGAATCATCAGAAAAATTGCAGTGAAAATATTTATAGAAAAGGCAGAGAAAAGGTGTGAAATCGAGATGCCGGATCAGAATCGATAACATTGCAGATTTTTCTTTGTATTTTGTCAAGAATGTCTAGAGATATAACTGTGGTGTCAAACCAGATGTGGAGACAATATTCAAAACATGGAAGAATGATAGACTTGTAAAGATGTATGATACATGGCGATAAAACCTGATTACCACAACATAGTGAAAAAACTTTCATAGCAACAGACTTAGCAACTGATTCAAAAGAATCATCCCATTTGATTTCAGCGAAAAACCCATTCATGTTTTATTCAAAATACCATTTGGGTGCGCTCTTTACTATTGCCTTTTCCAAGGCCGATATGGCAAATTGTCTTCAGCTTACAAACACTTGCTATGCTACTTGATTTGAATTGTCTAAAATGCCAATTTAATAATTGTAATTCGAAAGATATTGCTGAACGTTAAAATAAACTATTTAATCATATCAGTTTCTTTTCTTTTCTATCAAAACCAAAGTGTTACCGATTCGACATTATGCCACAAATTATTCCACAGTAAAGAAGAGTGATTCTCAACATAGATCAATCAGTGATGTGCATTTCTAGTGGTCAACATAGAATCATTAGCCATGAAAAATTATAGGCAAAAATGAACCTAAATTATTCATAACATGATAAATTGAAAAATATAATATTTTGTTAAATTGCACACATGTTCATTATATTACTTGGTGTTAAGAATTTAAAGGGCCGTTGTAGAGGTTTTCAGTAGAAAAAGAAATAAATAAGATCTCAAAAGCAGAGGAAATCTTACACTAAGACTGAATGAGGTCATCAAAATTGATTTTTGATATCTTGTGTGAGAAACACCAAGATCACTGTAGTTACTAGCTGAATGGACTGACTGAATGACATCATCAAAATTGATTATGATATCTTGTATGAGAAACACCAAGATCAAGGTAGTTACTAGCTGAATGGACTAAGAATGAATGACATCATCAAAATTGATTATGATATCTTGTGTGAGAAACACCAAGATCAAGGTAGTTACTAGGTCAATGGACTAAGACTGAATGACTTCATCAAAATTGATTATGATATATTGTATGAGAAACACCAAGATCAAGGTAGTTACTAGCTGAATGGACTATGACTGAATGACATCATCAAAATTGATTATGATATCTTGTATGAGAAACACCAAGATCACTGTAGTTACTAGCTGAATGGACTGACTGAATGACATCATCAAAATTGATTATGATATCTTGTGTCAGAAACACCAAGATCACGGTAGTTACTAGGTCAATGGACTAAGACTGAATGACTTCATCAAAATTGATTATGATATATTGTATGAGAAACACCAAGATCAAGGTAGTTACTAGCTGAATGGACTAAGACTGAATGACATCATCAAAATTGATTATGATATCTTGTGTCAGAAACACCAAGATCACGGTAGTTACTAGGTCAATGGACTAAGACTGAATGACTTCATCAAAATTGATTATGATATCTTGTATGAGAAACACCAAGATCAAGGTAGTTACTAGCTGAATGGACTATGACTGAATGACATCATCAAAATTGATTATGATATCTTGTGTCAGAAACACCAAGATCACGGTAGTTACTAGGTCAATGGACTAAGACTGAATGACTTCATCAAAATTGATTATGATATCTTGTATGAGAAACACCAAGATCAAGGTAGTTACTAGCTGAATGGACTATGACTGAATGACATCATCAAAATTGATTATGATATCTTGTGTCAGAAACACCAAGATCACGGTAGTTACTAGGTCAATGGACTAAGACTGAATGACTTCATCAAAATTGATTATGATATCTTGTGTGAGAAACACCAAGATCAAGGTAGTTACTAGCTGAATGGACTAAGACTGAATGACATCAACAAAATTGATTATGATATCTTGTGTGAGAAACACCAAGATCAAGGTAGTTACTAGCTGAATGGACTAAGACTGAATGACATCATCAAAATTGATTATGATATCTTGTGTTGAGAAACACCAAGATCAAGGTAGTTACTAGCTGAATGGACTAAGACTGAATGACATCATCAAAATTGATTATGATATCTTGTGTGAGAAACACCAAGATCAAGGTAGTTACTAGCTGAATGGACTAAGACTGAATGAAATCATCAAAATTGATTATGATATCTTGTGTGTGAAACACCAAGATCAAGGTAGATACTAGCTCAATGGACGAAGACTAAATGACATCATCAAAATTGATTATGATATCTTGTGTCAGAAATACCAAGATCAAGGTAGTTACTAGCTCAATGGACGAAGACTAAATGACATCATCAAAATTGATTATGATATCTTGTGTCAGAAACACCAAGATCAAAGTAGTTACTAGCTGAATGGACTAAGACTGAATGAGATCATCAATATTGATTATGATATCTTGTGTGAGAAACACCAAGATCAAGGTAGTTACTAGCAGAATGGACTAAGACTGAATGACATCATCAAAATTGATTATGATA